GAACTTACGTAGTTCAGTCTCCTTGGTGCATGTTGTACCTTATGTTGGATTTTTTTATTTTCAGAACAATGGTAAAAAATCGTATTTCTAGGTTTACAGGTCTGTGCATCCATGCTTAGCAAGGTAGACCTCACTTAGTGAGCCCTCACTTAGCGAGTGAGAGCCTCACGTAGCGAGACACTTTAACAGTGAAACTTTTCAGATTTTGTTTTCATCATAACATGAGTTTTGTGAATTTGTTTGAGGCGCGACTCGAAGCGTTGGGTAGCTGACGCGAAATACTACCTTAGTATGGTTTATTAAAGGTTTAATATGTGCCTAAAAATATGAAAAGTATGTTTACTTGTGATAAGTCTTACGAGACGATTATTAAATAATCAGGTAATTGTGAATTGATGGTTGCCATGTGATGGGTTTGTGATGTATGAATATTCTGAGTGAAAGTTAGTATGTGTTGATGAAAAACATGACAATTTTTGGTGATAAAATATCATGATGAGTTTAATAAGTTGTGAATTATACTTATGTGTATGAGTTGTGAATTGTCGGTATAATTATGTGCTAATGGACATAATTATATGTTTCAGAATGTTTGTATAAGTATATGATGAGTTATAATTACATGTTTTTGATGTGAGATGTGATGTGGTTTGTATAAGTATGTGTTGTGAATATAATTATATGTGTTGTGTCGAGTTGAGTAGTTCAGAAGTGGGGACTATTGTGAATGTTGTATTGCATGTTGTTTATGGTTAGAAGTGGAACCATAAATGTTGTTGTTATTGTTGTTGTTGCATTACTTTGTATGGGATGCATCATTTTTTATCGATGTGTTGAAAGAGGCGAGTCATTGGTTCAGAAGTGGGGATCGGTGATCGTCCGGGGTTCAAAAGTGGGGAACTCTGTTTGAATGAGGAACCATTGTTGAGTGGACGAGATCAGTAACAAACCTCTGATGTCCAAACTGGTACCACATGCATAAAGTCGATTTGTGAGTCACATTGCATACATAAAGGTTATGTGAATTGGATTGTTGTGCTGGTATATAATTAAATGTGTGTTGTTGATTTTGTGGTTTAAGTCACCCTTACATTCTCTTACACTGTTAATATATTTGAGGGTATTTTCACCCTTGCTTGTTTGTTTTGTGTTGCTCTGTATTGTGCAGATACTCAAGAAGAGTAAGTGCTAGTGTGAGTTGGAAGATGGCCTTGGAGCTTTTCTTCACTTATTTTATCGCTACTTAGTTGGTTTAATACTCTAATCTGTAACATCGAGAACATGTCATTTTATTTGTTTTGAGTTAATTGTTAGATCATGTTAATTTTAATGAGTATTTCAGTTTGATGAGATAATTGAAGTCTATGCTATTTATTTTGAATTCTGTTTGAAATTTTGAAAATAATTGAAAAGTATGTATGTTGTGTTTGAGTAGCATCCTAAATGTTAATTTTATTCTTTAAATTGAAGTCTACCTATTGTAAGACAAATCCTGTGAATTTTCTCAAGGGTTGCCTTCGGAGAAGGAAATTGAGTTTTAAATAAACTTAATTCTTAGAAAGTGATCCATTTTGATGGTACTCTATCACACTTCTTTGAATAAATTAACAAAATTGAAGTTATAGTTGAAAGAGTTGTTGTAATGGGAATTTATTTTAGCCAATGAATCTTCACAAAGGAGCACATGTTCTTTAATGAACAAGAAAGAAGATTACATGATATTGTGTGTAGATTATCGATTAAAGTGGAGATCATGAATCATAAGATTAATAGAAATGAGCTTGTGTATCTCCAATATTATCTTGAAGTCACAATATCATAAGATTAGAGTAAACCTAACTGATATTCAAAAGAATGAGTACGAAATACACATGTTTCAGATTTAGCCAGGCCCCAACGGATTTAGGTTTGGATTTTTTTAGACCTGCTGGGAAACTGTTAAAGTTGATGTTATTCGGCTTGTAAAAGATTTCTTCCTTTCTCCTTTTCTTACAAAAGCTGCTTCAACATCGTTTATAAAGTTGGTGGCAAAAAACAAGAATCCTCAATTCCTAGTTAATTACAGACCTATATGTTTGGTGAACTGCTATTAGAAGATACTTGCTAAAATCTTGGCCGGTAGTCTGAAGAAGGTTGTGGGCAGCATTGTCTCTACTGAACAGTCCGCTTTCGTCCCAGGTAGATGTATTCTTGATGGGGTGGTGGTTGCAAACGAGGTATTATATTTGGTGAAAAGAACTAAATGGAACTTTATGGTAATGAAGATAGATTTTAAAAGGGCTTACGACTGTGTTGCGTGGGGATTTCTTAGGTTTTTGCTTGAGAAGATGAATTTCGGGGATAGATGGAAAATGTGGATAGAGATGTTGGTGTTTAACAGATCTATGTCTGTTCTGGTCAGCGGCAGCACGACAAAAGAATTCTCAGTTGGAAAAGGTCTCCGTCAAGGTGACCCTCTGTCACCGTTTCTTTTCATACTGGTGATGGAAGGGCTCGCTCATTTGTTGAACAAGGTTGTGTCCCCGAGTAAGTACAAGGGTTTCATGGTTAACGAGGATAATTCGTACAACGTAGTTCAGTTTGGCAACGATACCTTTTTGATAGGGTAAGCTAATTAGGATAACTTGTGGAGTATTAAAGTGGTGCTTAGAGCATTAGATCTGGTGTCGGGGCTAAAAGTCAATTTTTCAAGAGTTGCATTGGTGGTATTAACTTGAGCGCAAATTTCCTGGACGCGACTTCAGTTTTCCTACACTGTGAGGTGATGAAGTTTACTTGTAAGCTTTTGGATGTGTATATTGGTGATAGTCCGAGGAAGGGTTCGATGTGGAAATACGTCATTGATCATGTGAGACGCAGATTATCTGATTGAAAAGGAAAGAACTTGTCAATTGGCGGGAGGGTTATTTTAATAAATTCGGTTCTCAACGCGTTACCGATTTATTCGTTGTCTTTCCATAAAGCTCCAACAATAATTATCAAGACTCTTCAAAGTATCCAAAGCAACTTTCTTTGGGGTGAGTGCTCTAGCCGTAAGAAAGTGCATTGAATAGATTGGAAAACCGTCTGCGCACCGAAAGCGAAAGAAGGGATGGGCATTAAAGACATCTCATTCTTCAACAAGTCACTATTACTTAAATGGAAGTGGAAATGTTTGAATGAAAAATGGGTGGTTTGGAAAGGCATTCTAGAACACAGGTATGCGAAGGCAGGTTTGTGATTGGCCATCACGGGTTACGAATGATCTAACGGCAAGAAATCTGACTCCATATGGTGAAGATATCTAATGACTCTGAGTTACAACTGAATTTCTGGCACTGATATGTTTATTGATAGGCTGAAGTGTATTTTGACATATCAGTTGGGTTCTAAACTAGTCACCTAAGGTGATTTTCCCTAATTTATTTCTTCATTGTGTCAGGTATAATTGTTCTATAGCAAAAACGGGAATTTGGTGTGGGTCGGTTTAGGAGTGGAAGCTAGATTTTATTTCTTTTCCTTGTGGGTTTGTTATGGAAAGGAAAAAGGAGGATTTATGGGACATTTTACAGACAGTGAGGCCGAAGGATGAAGTAGAAGACAATTTTAAGCGGGATTCAACGGAGTGTCCAATTTTATCGGTTTCCTCTTGCTATGAATCATTGTTTCAGGATCAAGTGGTGTATGAGATTGCAAAAGACATCCTGGTAGGGCATAAAGTGGCTTGGGAGGAGAAGATCCCGTATAATGTGCAGGTATTTCTGTGGAGATTGTTTAGGAATCATGTCAGCGACCAAAGATCAGTTGGCAAGAAGGCGTATATGGATTGGAGGGGTGTCTTCGTTGTGCCTTTCTTGTAGAAGGTCAAAGGAGAATATTCCTCACATTTTCTTGCAGGAAAAGTGTGGAAGGGGGGTTTGCAAGTGGTTTGGTTTTCAGGTTAAGCTTGTTGGAACTTGTTTAGAATCTTTTTGTAATTTCATCTTCTCCACTAAAAAAGTACTAGGTAACTCTTCGGGTATAGTGTGGGATGCAACAATATGATTTTTGTGGATTAGTATAAACAATCTTTCCTTTAAGGATAAGATTATGCCGGTGGACGATACGATAAATTCCATCAAATTTTTCTCTTGGAGATGGCTATAGGAACTATTTATCCAAAGTGTTCGTTTTATGACTGTATAAAGCGCCTATCAATTGTATTAACCGGATATTTTATTGATTCGATCTCCAGTCCGATTTTTAAAACACTGATAAAAGATGCCTCAAGCCTCAAAGACTCAACAAAAACTCTTGTATGGAAATGATTTTTGTGTCATTCAATCCTATATGTAAAGTATGCTCATGGAATGGAATGTAATGTTAGATTTCTTGAAATGAATTTTGTCTACAATTGAGATAAAAAAAGCTCATAGTCCTTGACCCGTATTTATTACATAATAAATATTTTCTTGCTCTTGGATAATGTTTGTTCCTATATAAACTATTTCTGGAAGCATGGCATAGGGAGTCAAAAACTTCAAATAGAACAAATCCATTAGTGACAGTTTTTAACTTCTTTCTGGAAGCATAACACAGTAGTAAGTGACGGTGATTGAGAAAATAGAAGTGAAAAACCTCTTAAAACCAAAATTAGGGATAAAACAAACCGTCAGTGACAGTTTTTAACTTCTTTGACTACTTATAGTGGCAGATGGAAACAGCCCAAACACTAAAATCTAAGTATAAAGGGTTGCCAGAGTAATTGAGCCAAACAATATCAGACCGGTATATATTTTAACAAAATTTCATTCCATCTGCTATTGTTCTTTTTTTATCCAAATACAAATGGTTACAAAATGCTTTCAATCAAGCATCATACACTTTGGAGGCTACATACATTAACTTTACTTTATCTGCATAACATGTGACCCTTTCTATATAACAAATAGAATCATATAAGCCAGAGAGCATTGGCAAATAAATTTTATTTTAAGTTCATAAAATCAAACAGAAAAAGCGCTCGGAATTTTAAAACTATTCTACCCCCTCAATACTCGGTTTGAGCTTAGGACAAAGTTTTCCTCGCCAGCAATGGTGGAATGTAATCGGCCTGCGGCCCAGCCATTATTAGTAACTCGAACTGAAGCTCGTGCAGGATCCCCTCCAACTACACGGCTTCCATCAACTTGCTTTTCAAATTCAGGAAGGCCAGCCGCCTTGTTTTCTTTCCTTTTTCTTCTATCTTCATCTCGTTCCTTTCGTAGCCAAGCTTCTATCGTTCTCTACATATTCAAAACCAATTAGGCACAGTTAAGTTAATTGTTTTCTCACAAAAAAGTCTAAGTTGCACAGCTTGACAATGCATTCTTGAGTAGCATGCATAAGTACGACAAGATACAGTGAGCGGCACAAAAATAACTGATTGAGAGAACGACAAAACAAACCATTAATGACAGTTTGCTAATTTCTTTGACTTTCTCTATGGGCATTGCTAATTGCAGCCTTCCATGAGCTACATAAACCTGATAAAGAGCATTGAAATGACAATAAGATTATTGTTCTAAAACATTGACATAAACACAGTTCAAAATGTAATTAGACATACAATATTTGTTGGCCAATCGTCAAGACCGTCAAATATATGTGTTGCATATATAATTGTGGCACCCCTCTCATCACATTCCTTTCTTAGAAACTTCAGAAGGTCAGCTCTGGCTAGAACATCAAGGTCGACCGTTATCTCATCCAGCAGAAGAACCTAGGTAAACAATGAGCATCCTTACATATATAAAACTGTTCTAAATTCAACAATGCATTGTAATTTATTAACGTCAAGAGTATAAGAACTTCTGTATACATAAAATAAAACATCATACCTTAAATGGTTTGAGGAGACCCATACAAATTTGCACTCTTCTTCTTTGACCATCAGATACTTTATGCAATCTCCATGAAAGATTGATATCTAATACCTGCCCATTTAAACACCAGAACAAATATATAGCAACAGTTTTTCAAAGACAAGTATATATGCATAGCTCGGGAAACCTTCTAGAAATTAGCAATGCATAGTCAGAGAAGATGAACATAAGAGATAATGATAAAGTTTTGGTTGAATCGAGCATAGACAAGCCAAGTCATTGTGCGGTTAAGCCATCTACCAATATCAAATTAGAGCCTTTAGATACAAGTATATCACATATCAAATACGAGTTTATATTAAAAGAAACCCCACGCGTTTATAGAAATGAACACAAAAACTAACCGTAGGTAAAATAGCAATGGAAAAAGGAGTACAGTTAGGAACTGAATGATAGTCGAATAGTATCTATTGTGGTTATACAGGAAACATTACTTACACCGAAAAATGTACTTTAATAGCCATAACGGGTACTCTACTATACTACACACATCTTAGCAAGCAAAGAGGTAACATATTATCAAACAACCGAACTCAATTCTACTAGCAAATAAAGAAAAATGGTAAAAGTAGTTAGAAATATTGTTATGTATTTTAAACAAAAGTGTCCTACAACTGCACCAGTAAACTCATCTGACATGAAGAAATTCACGAAAGGTAGTATATATCAAGAGTACATATTAAAACTAAGCAACCACCATACACATCTGAAATCTATAAAAGTTTACTAAAAGATTCATTGAACCTTGATTAGCTCTGCTCTTCTTTCAGGATCAATCCCAGCCACACCAAATATCATTTTCTCAGCAGAAATGTCCATCTGTATTGGAACTTCAAAACCAGCAAAAGCAACATCTCTTCTCCACTGTGTACCAATTCCAAAAAAATAATTCCAATCACCAACAGTCAGCAATTTGATAAAAACAAAAAAAAATCTCAATTTCCTATATGGTCCTAATTTTTTTAAGTAGTTGATTTACAACTTGTTTACAACAATGCCTAAATTTAAATAAATGATGCCGCCAGAGATTAAATCCTAGACGATTCCAAATTGTAACTGCTTAATTAATTAATAAATTAATTAACAAGTGTGTGGTTATGTATTATAATAACAGTTTATACTAATGGGCACAATGAGTACTTAAATAGTTTGATAAAAGCACTGACCTCACCACCAAGATAACACAAATCACCAGAAGATTCCAAAGCTGTATCATGAAAAGCCGATCTTCCAAGAACACGAACCATTTCAGGCTCCACCATGTGTTTCCCTCCTAATATCTTCAGAATTGTAGTCTTTCCGGCGCCATTGGATCCGACGAGAAGGCATCGATCACCGGAGAAGAGGTTGAGAGAGAAGTCTTGTATGAGAGGTTTGGAGCCCGGTGGAGGATGACCGTCGATTCCAGGATAAGTGAATTTCAGCTCTTTGATCTCAACTGTTGTTGGCTTTGAATCCGAATTCACGTTAAGACCCATTTTGAATTTTCAGGATTCAACTACAAAAACCTGAGAATGAGAATGATACACAAAACTCGATTTCTCTTTCTTTTTATGCTTGTTTTAGTTTGATTTATTTGAATTAAATTTAAATCGGTGGGGAGTTGAAAGTTAGGGAATGGAAGCGTGGTTGATTCTCAGACACTCGCGCTCTCAACAACTACCTCGTTTTTTTATTCTTTGTACTTAATGATTAACAGGCCGAAAGACTAACTTTATTTACTTTGGTCGGCTTGGTTCCAAAAGGAAAATTTGATTCACCAACGTTTAGATATACACCCCCTTAAATCAATTCAACTTGCTAAAATATCACTCATTTGAGGAACTAAATCAAAATATCCTCCCAAAAACACTTAATTTCATAAAGATAAAATAACTTTTTTCGTCTCTTAATTTTATTTTGGGGTCCAGTTTGATCCCTTAATTTAAAAAAGTGGCAAGTTGGTCTCTAATTTTTAAAATGGTGTCACGTTTACCCTTCCGTTTATTGCTGTTAGTCAAAGTTTGAAAAAAAATGTCACGTTTGTCCAGGTAGACTTGATGTTACTGACGTGTCTTAAAACAAATCTCATTTGACCTTGATTTCCATTACCCAGAAGATAAAACGTTTGCACAATAAACTTAACGAATCATTGAAGACGATTCAAGGACTCAATACGCGAAGGATTGAAGACGCGAAGGATTGAGGGCGGAGGATTGAATACGATTCAAGGAGATATTATCAAAAGGTTAGTTCATTTCTCTCTGATTTAGGGTTTACGAATCTGATAGGGCAATATCTACTAGAGGTTCAGATTTAGGATTTATGTAAAAAATTTAGTGTAAACTCTAATTATTTAGATGATATGATTAGGTATCACAGATGAATACATAACTCCCAAAATTCATCATAGTGCTGAGGTCACCGATGAAGGTCGTAGTGTATATGAGAATGAAGTAGTAGATGATTTGAGAGTAGATGTAGATAAATGAAGTTATTTTGAGCTAGTTGGTGTATTGAAAGACTTGGGTTATAAGGAGTTTGAAACAATATTTTACAAGGACCCTCAATTTGGAATGAATGCACTTGTTGATGACAATGGTGCTTTAGAAATTGCAGATCTTTATAAGGTACACCGAAATGTTAATATTTATATTGAACACACCTTATCTCAACATGACTACTGTGATATTGTTGTTGATGAAGTTGATGAGGACCCTGCTGAAATTGTCGATGAGGTGGAGGAGCTACTTAGTCAACTGCATAATGAAGTTGTACAAGTTGAACAAACCATTGTTGTGATGGAGGAAGGTGATGTTAGAGTTGATCAAGCCACTGCTGGGTTGGAGGAAGGTAATGTTGGAGTTGATCAAGAGAATCCTGTAGTGGATGAACATACTGTTGGAGTTGAGGAAATTAATGTTGGAGTTAAACAAGGGAATCCTGCAGTGGATGAACATACTGTTGGAGTTGAACAAGGGAATTCTGCAGGGGAAGAAGGTAATGTTGGAGTTGAAAAAGGTAAACCTGCAGTGGATGATGACTTAAGTTTATCTTTTGATGATAGTGAAGATGAGGACTACAATTATGATAGTGCACAAGATGTGGCTTTTGAGGATGAGTCTGATGGGTGTGATGAGATTGAGGAGGATGAATTTGATACCCTAATTGGTCATGAAATTGATGGTAATGGATAAGTCCAAGAACTTAATGATAAGTCTTTAGAAGATAAAGGGAGTGACAATGACAGTGAGGACATGCAAAGTGGTTGTGACAATGATGATAGTAGTGAAGTTCTAAGAAAAAAGCATCAAATTTTCAGACAACCAAAAGATATGTGGGAATGTACTTTAGTTCAAATGGTGATTTTAGGGAAGCAATAACAACTTATGTTATGCAAAATGGTAGAGACCTAAGGTTTGTAAAAAATGACAGAGTTAGGGTAAGGGTTAGGTGTAAAGTTGGTTGTGAGTGGGAGGCTTATTGTAGCAAGTTGTCAAATGAAGACACTTGGCAACTCAGGAAAGTAATTGACAAACACAGTTGTAGTAGAGAGTATATTGTGAAGTTGATGAGTACAAAGTGGTTGAGTAAAAGAATTCAGAATAGCTTGAAAAACAATCCAAGGTTGAGTATAAAGGATATTAAGGAGAAGACACAAAAAAAGTGGAATTTTGGGGTCAACAAAACCAAAGCTATAAGAGCAAGATTTGCAGCTAGAGATTATGTTGATGGTTCTTTTTTGGGAGATTACATAAGGGTCTATGAATACTGTCATGAACTATTAAGAGCCATTTCAGGGTCAACAGTTAAGCTCAATGTTGAGCCTGTACAAGAAGTTGTTGAGGATGAAATACCATATTTTAGAAGGTTTTACATATGCTATGTTGCGTGTAAGGAAAGCTTTAAGTTATGTAGGCATGTAATAGGTCTAGATGGGTGTTTTTTGAAGGGGTTGTGCGGAGGGCAGATTCTGGCTGCCATTGGGAGGGATCCTAATGACCAGATGCTTCCCATAGAATATGCAGTTGTGGAGAGTGAAAACAAGGATAGTTGAACTTGTTTTTTAGAGCTGTTAATTGATGATCTTGGAGGCAAAGATGAATGCCTGACTTACACCTTCATCTCAGACCAACAAAATGTAAGTTTTACATTTATTCTTATGGTTTTATGTGTTTTTGTTATGCTATTCTTGTTATGCTATAGTGTATGTTATGCTATATTGTTATGATACATTGTATGTTATGCTATTGCAGGGTCTGATACCTACTATGGATGAGCTATTGCTAAGGGTGGAGCGCAGGTTTTATGTTAGGCACCTCTATAACAATTTTAGGAAAAAGTTTCTTGGAAAGATGTTGAAGGACATAATATGGAAGCCTGCCAAGTCAACATACCCACAGGCATGGGAAAGAGAGATGAAGGGAATGAGGGCCATCAATGAAGAAGCATTTAAACATATGATGAAGACCCCACAAAGGTTTTGGAGTAGATCTTACTTTAGGACTGAAAACAAATGTGATGTTGTTCTCAACAACATGTCTGAATCCTTTAATAGTGTCATCTTGATGCAAGGGCAAGACCTTTAATCACTATGTTGGAAGACATAAGAATATACATGACAGAGAGATGGGTAAAATAACAGAATGAGATTTGGTACTTTGAATGAGCCCAACCCTCTCATACTCCAACAAAGAGGACCACACCAAAGAAGAAACTCTAGATATAATTAGGCTATCATGTCATGTAGAATCACATTATATATTTTGTTGTATAATTAGTTTATGTTTTTTGTTGTTGTTTGAAACATGTGTATTATAAGTTTATGTATCCTGTTGTTGTTTGAAACATGTGTGGAATGACTATGTATTTTATGGAACATGTGTATCAGTTTGTATTATGAAATGGGCCTGTTATGAAATGTATCAGTTGTGTTAAAAGTAGAACTTATTTATGGACCTGTTATGAACTTTCTGTTAAAAGCAAAACCAACTTATAGGTCATAATGTTTATGGACCTATCATAATGTGGTGTAAAAAGTGCAGACCAAAAAAATGCAGACCAACTTTGACAGGTCTATAACAGGCCAGGTAAACATAAAAATAGAACATACCAAATATATCATTGTGTGTTAAAATTAAGCTAATCTTCAACAGACCAAATAACATAATCTTTAACAATGCAGACCAAGTTAAAAATACTTTGACAGGATATTTAACAATGCAGACCAAGTTAACATAAAACTGATACAATCCAAAACTAAAACTGATACATTCATGTTGAACTGCAAAAAGTAAAATTAAAATCCACTGCATGATTAGAATCCAACTATTACATTCATGTTGAACTGATACAATCCAAAATTGATACAAACTTTAACTGAACTTAAACCTAATTCTTACAACCAAAAGTTAACTTAGTTCTTACAAACAAACCATAACATACTACTTCCAAACAAACCTTAATACCCTAACTAATTCTAACAACTAATACAATGATAATCATCACAAACATCAAATTCAAAATCTTTTTCAACTTCATGATATTATTCATTTCACTTTCAAGTTTCATCAACTTTTTCTCTAATTCTTCATTCTCCATTGTCACTTTTTCAATGTCCTTTTTTGCTTCATCAAGTCCCTTAGTTACCACACTCAGCCTATGCATCCAGAATTGCTCCTTCTCATCACCCACCTCCTCATAAAACCAACCAAAGAAATCACAACTAGCTTGCATACCTCCTTGTAAGTTTCATTGTTTAGAGGACGATGGAGAATGAATTTAAACTTAAACACAAACAAAATTTATTAACAGAATTCAAAAAGCTTGCATACCTTATAATTTGGACAACCCCAAAATTTTCCCCCATATTCTTAATAGTAGTTGCCTTTTGAAGAACAACCATGTTTCCACAATGGCATATGGTCTTCCATTGTGACCTACTACAAACATCTGAATATCGACTTTCCTGTTTTAGCATGGAGGACAAACAACCAGATTTCATGCTTACCAAAAACAAAAACCCTAGATTAATTTTTGGATTTGGGATTGGGAAGGAGGAAGGAACGAAAAAAATTCAAATTGCAATATGGGAATGGGAGGAGGAAGGAGAAGGAAACAACATGAAGAAGATAACTTGCCAAGTCATCTACCACGTACACAAAATGAACGGACGTTTGGGGACAACTAACGGTGAGGACTCAATTGACACCATTTTAAAAGTTAGAGGACCAACTTACCACTTTTTAAAGTTAAGGGACCAAACTGGACCCCGAGTTAAAGTTAAGGGACGAAAAGGGGTATTTTGCCTTTCAGAAATAACCAAACATCTGAAAAAACCAATTAAGATTTTTCAACCACCTGAATGTTTTGAAGATTTAGCTATGCTACCTTATTGTTTATGCTTTTAAGATATTCAAACTATCATCATATTTTTCTAAGTCAATCCAATGCTTCATGAAAAATTTTGGGGGGTTTTTTAATGCACCTTCCGAGCTAC